ATACACATGTTATATGTTGTAATAATCTCACCAGTACCTACTGAATCACATTCGTCTCGCCCGTACGTGTCCAATTAAGCGCAGCAGGAAATATTGGGGCCAGGCGTCATGACCCAGGTTGGCCCACTTTCCGAGATTGTTTAGAATGGTAACGGGCTAGAACTATTGTCGAGGGAGGATCTTCTACTGATGACCGGTAGACCCTTGCTGTGTATGCTCGACTGTGGAGTTTTCATACATATTAAAAATCAAGGGCGTGGCAACTTGGCGGTTAAAACACCTGCATACAGACACATAGACAGGAAGAAATTATAATGAGGTTGAGAAAGCACCCCCCCCCCCCCCTAGACACATTGGGGAAAACGTTAGAATAAGACTGCAACACCCCCCCCCCCCCCAACTGAGGGGCTAAGTGATACCACTTACCATGGATAGAAGTTCTGTTTGTAAGTATGTGTTTAAAGTTCGTTAGTTAATTCGTGAGGCAAATATAAACAGTTGTACATGTTCAACCACACACAAGACCGCTTTGGTTATAATTATCGTCTGGTGTTATTTGCGGAAGCTGGACTAACACCAAAAAAAAAACTTTGGCTGCCGGGTCGACCTAGCCTTAAAATGGGTACCCGGTAAAGTCCGTGGAAGTATAGGCGGCTTACGATGATGCTTAAAGAAGATTAGTAATTCGATCTTAATGCTGTCAACATGACATAATGTTGAAGGTAACGACCCAAATCAACAACAGCTGCTGTCTTTAAAATCTTTTAAATATTATAATCTCCCAATAAATGTTTGTATGCTCTTTACTTGGTAGCGTAAGTGGAGACTTGTAAAAATGCACTTGAGTGGAGAGGATGTTTGGTGAAACTATAAAAGCTGGACTGCAGAATAACGACAGTTACCTGTGCTTCTTTATTCTTTATCTTCTTCCTCTTCTTCTTCTTCTTCTTCTTCTTCTTCTTCTTCTGCTTCTTCTTCTTCTTCTTCTTCTTCTTCTTCTTCTTCTTCTTCTTCTTCTTCTTCTTCTTCTTCTTCTTCTTCTTCTTCTTCTTCTTTCTTCTTCTTCTTCTTCTTCTTCTTCTTCTTCTTCTTCTTCTTCTTCTTCTTCTTCTTCTTCTTCTTCTTCTTCTTCTTCTTCTTCTTCTTCTTCTTCTTCTTCTTCTTCTTCTTCTTCTTCTTCTTCTTCTTCTTCTTCTTCTTCTTCTTCTTCTTTACATCCTCTTTTACCGCTTCGTGTTTCGAGAGATATATAAGGTCCTGATTCGTGCTCTTCTGGCTACTTCGACCAAAGACACATCGTAGTGGTGTAGAGTTTCTCTGATGTTATCTTGCCATCTTGTTTTTGGTCTACCTCTTGCTCTACGCCCCTCTCCTCTTCTGATATATGCCTTGTATGGTATAGCATTAGAAAGCATTCTCTCCAAGTGGAGAAACCAATTGATTTGCTGTCTGTGTATGCAATTTAGTCGACACTATTTAGCCCCCCTGTCTACAAGTCCTTAAAAAAGTGGTAAATACAAACCGTATCGACATTTTGAGAGTTTTTCTGATATCCTGTGTGGTGATATTCCCCCTGTTATTGTGTACTAAGGTCTGTTTTTGAAGTCCCAGTGTATTTTCGATGTAAGCCTTTTCCAATTGTAGGGGCACAATATTGGTCAGTCCTGTGGAGACGCCTTGTTATTCCAGGGATAACAAGGTGTTTGTAAAGTTTCCCTACACTTTGCATGTAGAACAAACAAGAAAAAAAAAAATGTAGTGCATGACGTCATCAAACAATGTGCTCCACGGTCAATCTCGAATCAATATGCAGTGTAGGACCGTAGTCTGCTGGTGTAATTCTTTGCACTCACGAACAGAATGGCGTTATCACCGGAATAAATCAGAACTACCATTCAAGAAATGATACCGGTCACGTTATAGAAGGTATTTGAAAAAAATAAGAAGAAGAAGAGAGTCAAGTCTTGAAGTTCACGGTGGACAGTTCTAAAACGTATTTTAATTAATATGTAATTGGTACTTCCTGCTTCAATAAAAACATTGTAAGACCATAGCAATTATTCTTCTTCTTCTTTCGTTTCTTGAAATGAATTATCTATATCTGCAATGTTGTCTCTAGTATGAACCTCACTGTCTTTTGTAATTCACTTAGCGACCCGTAAAGTTTGACCATAGCAATAACCTAGTCAGTCTTAGTCTTTCCCCTTGAGCCTAGCGAGGCGCATAAGGCAGAGGTCAAAGCTCTCCATGTCTGGCGGTTCGTTGCCACCTGTTTTAGGTCTTGGATGTTCGTTAGGCCCAAGGTTGAGCCTTTCCTGGTGATGGTTCTGGGTCTCTCTTGATATTCCCGTTTTCTTTTCCCTTCCAGTGTCCATATGAGGGCTTGATGTGGAAATCTAGTCTTATCCATTCTGAGTAGAGGACTGATGTAGTTGCAGCGGCTTACTTTCTTACAAAAAATTGCAATAACTACTTAACTCTCGGTTCTTTCGTAATATCCCACCACAGATGATGTCACAGGACAGTCCAACATTTTAGAGGGTGGTAAGATTGGGGTTTCCGGCTTTCTGATGCTTTTAGCGACTCCAAAAGATCTAGAACTGGCCCTTACCCCAACAGACCTACGTCCTACGAGAGAGTGCAGCCTAGGTACCACCACCTACTGCATGCAGCCTAGGTCGAACGACTGCATGCAGCCTGTATACCACCCTCTGAAATATTAGACTGTCCCGTGACCTGTGGATTTCTACTGTTTAGGATATTAAGAAAGCACCTAACTCTCTTTATTCTTCTAGTTCAGTGGCTGTAAACTTTGGCGGAAAGCACTGGGTGTTCGTCCATCTCTAGACTTTTGACTTGTTCCAGAACCTGAGTGTTGTGTAAACATATATTTTACAGATCTGATTTAATTCTATGCAGACTGTTGGTTTTTGCCTCTCAGATAGATGCACCCTGACTTCAAAGGAACCCTTAATTAGTCGACTCCTACGACATGCTTGTTTGGGAGGCAGTGGGTCTATTCTTGTTTGCCCCTATTAAGGACCCCAGAACCCACACGGGGAACAACTGTAACTAATTTACTCCGTTGAGCCGCCACACTACCCACAAGCCCCATTTGATAACTGTTACGTGTTTATTTGCCACCAAGCACATCATAATAATTGTAGTTCAACAAGGCTCAAGTACATTGAGCCCCGCCCTAGAGAAGTAAAAAAAGAGGCAGAGCCCCCCCCCCCCCCCCACCCCTTTCCCCTCTTTTCACACCGACCCACTCAAAATATTTGTTAAAGCGCGCCCGGGAAAATCCGAACGTAAAACAACATCGATTGTGATAATGTAACATTTTCTTTTGTCAGGCGACATGTTTTTTTGTAGGAGATCTTCTCTATGTTTTGCTCTCGTGGCTTCCAATGCAGCGAGACTCTTTCAGAAACTATGTTAACATTTCATTACAACTTTAAAAGTTGCTCCCAGCAATCTGGCCTGTTGAAATTGTCTGAATATTTTACCTATCATTGTGCTTCTATCATTGACAGTTAAGTTAAAGTTACAATCCAGTCGATCGACTTTCTGGCAGCGGGGGGTTTTCTCGGATGGCTCGGTCTTTCTCCACAGAACGGCTCGCCATCTGGCTAGAGAGTGACACAAAGCACGAACCATAGCTGCAGCGACGATCTCCAGAGTCCTCACTAAAACTGCACTATCAACTGAGCGACGTATCCGTGAACGGAACCCGTGATCGTCAGAGCAAATGGTTTCACAACTGAACCAGGAAGACATTTCCTGTTTACAATTATGTACACTCCAAGTCGACCCAGCCTTGAGTGGGTACCGGGTGCAGTCCCGGGAGGTAAAGGCGGCCAGTGTGATGTGGACCACATCACCCATCTTGTACCGATTGGTCTATAGAAATAAAGGTCTAGTCATGTATGCCCTATATGCCTAAAGGTGCCTAAAGGGTCCTTTACTTTTTAAACTTGTATTACGTAAACACATTAATTTTCTGAAACTGGTTATGCTTCTCTGATTTCTGATTGTCTGAAGATCATGTCAGTTGTTTATACAGTGCAGAACTATGTTTTTTCGCACTGAATTTAAATATTGCGGAAATAAACACTAGATTGTACAATTTTTTGCCAGGCATCAGTCTTACATGTTATCAAAGAGCAATCAGTGAAGTGGTTTAGATACCTGACAAGAATGTCCTAATACTATCCACCACAGCGAGCCACACTGAAACGTTACAACGGGTATAGAGCGAGCGGAAAACCTCAGAAAATATGGCGTGATGGCATTAGGAACTGCCTTACAGAACTGAACAGGAATCTTATAAGTGCTCTTGACAGAGCTTATCAGTGAACGTTACATCCCTCCCCCCCCCCCCCCTCCCCCCCCCCCCCCCCCCATACTTTACTGAGGTACACTATGGAGAAGAAGAAGAAGAAGAAGAAGAAGAAGAAGAAGAAGAAGAAGAAGAAGAAGAAGAAGAAGAAGAAGAAGAAGAAGAAGAAGAAGAAGAAGAAGAAGAAGAAGAAGAAGAAGAAGAAGAAGAAGAGTTACACAAATTGAAGCACGAGGAAGGAGGTAGAGATTCACGAAGATATACTGTCCGAGGCATGCAGGAGTGCAAGGTAATGAAAGAGCAGATGTTTTAGCTACAAAAGCGATAGCTACAGAAATCATCGTACCGGACAAAGGAGACATTCTGAAGACCATTGATGAACGAATACTGATTGCAGACACGAGGTTAGATGAAACAACATGGGGCCACGGAACCCACACGGCAAAACAGAAGGTATCATTGTTTAGTACAGCCACACACACACCGACACACACACGCGCACACACAGAGACACCGACGCACACACTCACTCACACGCGAACGCGCACACACATACACACACACAACTAATAAATCATGAGGTTTCGGTTTCGGTATCTTGAAGAGAACATGCAACTGACTGACGCCTTCCCCCCCTTCTTGTTTTGCAGATTCTGGCATGTCTGCCAGCGACCAGCTCATAGACCACAACGGGTCTACACCAAGGAACGGTGTCCATGGAAAACATGACCCAGCTGAAACAAAGTTCCTGCCCAGACAGTTGGTGGACAGTGTACAGAATCCACATCTTGTTGGGCAGGAGGAGAAGGCGGGCAAACATGGTGACGATGTCTTGGGCAGGCAGACGTGGGCTCGCAAGGTGGAGTACGTGCTCACTACCATCGGCTTCTGTGTGGGAATGGGCAACGTACTGAGGTTTCCTTACATCTGTATTAGAAATGGAGGAGGTCAGTCATGCCTGTTTACAGACAGACAGACAGACATCCATAAATACATACACACACACAGAGACACACATACATACATACATACATACATAGATACATACATACAGACATACGCACATACATACAGACATAGATACATACATACAGACTCTCAGAGAGACATACACAGACATACATACATACATAGAGACACATACATACATACAGACGATCAGAGAGACATACATACCTACATACATACATACATACATACATACATACATACATACATAGACATACATACACACATACAGACATACATACATACATACATACATACATACATACATACATACAGACACATACATACATACATACATACATACATCACATACATACATACATACAGACATACATACATACATACATACATACATACATACAAGATACATACACAGACATGCACGATCATGCATGCATGACATGCATGCATGCATGACATGCATTCACAGACAGACAGACAGATACAGAGAGACATACATACAGACAGACAGACAGAGAGACATACATACAGACAGACATACAGACATACATACATACATACATACATACATACAGACACATACAGACATACATACATACATACACAGACATACATACATACATACAGACATACAGACATACATACAGACGCTACACAGACATACATACATACAGACAGACATACAGACACATACATACATACATACATACAGACACACAGACAGATACACAGACAGACATACATACATACAGACATCACAGACATACATACATACAGACAGACATACATACATACATACAGACAGACACATAGATACATACATACATACATACATACATACATACATACATCAGACATACACACAGACAGACAGACATCAGACAGACATACATACATACATACATCACAGACATACATACAGACATACATACAGACATACATACATACATACATACAGACAGACATACATACATACAGACACACATACAGACATACATACATACATACATACATACATACAGAGAGATACATACAGACATACATACATACATACATACATACATACATACATACAGACATACATACAGACAGACAGACGCTCAGACATACACACACATACAGACATGACAGACATGCATGCATGCAGACAGACAGACATGCATGCATGCACACATGCATGCAGACATGCAGACAGACACACATACAGACAGACCATCACATCCACACATACATACATACATACATACATACATACATACATACATACATACATACATACATACATACATACAGACAGACAGACATACAGAGAGATACATACATACAGACATACATACATACATACATTAGACAGGCAGACGCTCAGAGACACACACACAGACAGACAGATGCTCAGAGAGACACACACACACAGACAGACAGACGCTCAGAGAGACACACACACAGACAGATGCTCAGAGAGACACACACAGACATTAGACAGGCAGACGCTGAGAGAGACACACACACAAACAGACAGATGCTCAGAGAGACACACACACAAACAGACAGATGCTCAGAGAGACACACACACAAACAGACAGATGCTCAGAGAGACACACATACAGACAGACAGATGCTCAGAGACACACACACAGACAAACAGACGCTCAGAGACACATACACACAGACAGACAGATGCTCAGAGACACACACACAGACAAGCAGACGCTCAGAGACACACAAACAGACAGATGCACAGAGACACACACACAGACAGACAGATGCTCAGAGACACACACACAGTCAAGCAGACGCTCAGAGACACACACACAGACAGACAGATGCTCAGAGACACACACACAGACAGACAGATGCTCAGAGAGACACACACACAGACAGACATATGCTCAGAGACACACACACAGACAAGCAGACGCTCAGAGACACACACACAGACAGACAGATGCTCAGAGAGACACACACACAGACAGACAGATGCTCAGAGAGAGACACACACACAGACGCTCAGAGAGACACACACACAGACAGACAGACTCTCAGAGAGACACACACACAGACAGACAGACGCTCAGAGAGACACACACACAGACAGACGCTCAGAGAGACACACACACAGACAGACAGACGCTCAGAGAGACACACACACAGACAGACAGACGATCAGAGAGACACACAAACAGACAGACAGACAGACGATCAGAGAGACACACACACAGACAGACGATCAGAGAGACACACAGACAGACGCTCAGAGACACACACACACACACACACACACAGACAGACGCTCAGAGACACACAAACAGATAGACAGATGATCAGAGAGACACACAGACATACAGAAGCTCAGAAAGACACACGAACAGACAGACGCCCAGAGACACACAGACATACAGAAGCTCAGAAAGACACACACGCAAACAGACAGACACGCCTAGTGTTAATCGCTAGCTGTGAGGTTCTGGTGGGGTTAAACACCTTTCAGACAGACAGACAGACAGACAGACAGACAGATATGCTATGTTTTCCGTATCCATTGCTTTTCCCGTTTTTTCTCTCCCAGGTGCCTTCCTGCTGCCGTACTTTCTATGCCTGGTTTTGTGTGGATTACCTCTCTTCTTTCTGGAGGTAGGTTTAGGCCAGTTTCTGTCAAGGGGAGCACTTCACGTCTGGAACATTTGTCCTCTTTTCAAAGGTAAGATCCGACGAGTGATGTATTTAGCATCATCGCGGCCGCTTTGACTTCCCAGGACTTTACCTGGTAGGCATTTAATGTTGGCTGAACACCTTTTGACGAGAGAAAAGTCCGTCAGGATGAGAATGGAATGCAAAACATTTGGCCTGTAATGTGAGCGACTAACTACCATGCAACCATGGCAACCATGTTTTTGATGTAGCCCCTAAAAGTCGACGGGCACTCGTGGTGTGGCTGTGGTGTGGCTGTGGTGTGGCTGTGGTGTGGCTGTGGTGTGGCGCTAGACTGTCGCCTGCGGATCAGAGGATCGTGGGTTTGGGTCTTGACGGAGCCTGACATGTTTTCGAAACGACCACGGCTCCCAGGTCAGCCCAACCTTGAGTGGATACCAGGTACAGTTCTGGGAAGTAAAGGTGGCCGGCATGTTGTTGACCTCATCACCCGCCAAGCGATGATTGGTCTAGACAGAGCAGGTCTAGCACCGTGTGCACAATACCCCTGAGGGCACGGATAAGGGTACTTTACTTTTTGTTGTTGTTGGTGGTGGTGGTTGCGTTGTTGGTGGTGTTGTTGTTGATGATGTAAACTGATGGTACGTGATAGCTTTTGTTTCCCTTCAGGGTTTTCGTGCGTTTAGGATCAACACAAAAAGGTTTAGAATCACGTGGAAACAAATCCAAATAACCGTCTTTAGGGCTCTCTCACATTTACAAAGCGATCTACAGCCGAACTCGGGGATGGAAATGCTAATTAATAAAGCCTGTTTTTAAAGTCATATACTTTCTGTTCTGATGGGATTTTTTGTTTGGAACTTTACCTCAGCTAGGAAAATAAACATTCGGCTTCAAAGGTATTGAAAATATCAATAGGGCCTCTCCCTTTATGATGCCCCAGGCACGTGCATAACGTGGCGAATCATTTATCCGGCCCTGCCCGTAAAAAATCATCATTCTAGTTATTAGGGCAGCTGCGATGATGCTTACAGAAGTTTAATAATTCGAACTTAATGCTGTCAGCGTGACATAATGTTTAAGGTAACGACCGAAATCAACAACAGCTGCTGTTTTAAAACATCTTTTAAATATTATGACATCGCAAAAAGTGTTTGTATGCTCCTAACTAGGTTGCGTAAGTGAGGACTTGTAAAAAATGCACTTGAGTGGAGAGGATGTCTGGTGAAACTATAAAAGCGGGACTGCAAAACAACGACAGTTACCTCTGCTTCTTTATTCTTCTTCTTCTTCTTCTTCTTCTTTTCTTCTTCTTCTTCTTCTTCTTCTTCTTCTTCTTCTTCTTCTTCTTCTTCTTCTTCTTCTTCTTCTTGTTCTTGTTCTTGTTCTTGTTCTTCTTCTTCTTCTTCTTCTTCTTCTTCTTCTTCTTCTTCTTCTTCTTCTTCTTCTTCTTCTTCTTCTTCTTCTTCTTCTTCTTCTTCTTCTTCTTCTTCTTCTTCTTCTTCTTCTTCTTCTTCTTCTTCTTCTTCTTCTTCTTCTTCTTCTTTTTCTTCTTTTTCTTTTTCTTTTTCTTCTTCTTCTTCTTCTTCTTCTTCTTCTTCTTCTTCTTCTTCTTCTTCTTCTTCTTCTTCTTCTTCTTCTTCTTCTTCTTCTTCTTCTTCTTCTTCTTCTTCTTCTTCTTCTTCTTCTTCTTCTTCTTCTTCTTCTTCTTCTTCTTCTTCTTCTTCTTCTTCTTCTTCTTCTTCTTCTTCTTCTTCTTCTTCTTCTTCTTCTTCTTCTTCTTCTTCTTCTTCTTCTTCTTCTTCTTCTCCTCCTTTCTTCTTTTCTTCTTCTTCTTCTTTTCTTCTTTGTTTTTTCTTTTTTTAAAGGGTACAAAAATAATTTGTCAAAGGTCAACGAAAAAAATTTCCCACTTTGATAAAAACAGCAGCACCTGCGAGATTGCAAATTATACAACCATAAACACATTGGAAATCTGAGGCCACATTGGAAACAAAGTTTTGTTGATCCATACAGGAGTTCTGGAGATTTTTGTTTAAGTGTATGTGCACAACTTCTGAAACGCACCATAACATATGTATGTGTGTATATGTATGAATGTATCTGTGTGTATATATATATATATATATATATATATATATATATATATATATATATATATATATATATATATATTTATATATATATATATATATACATACACATACATATATATGCATAAATATACACATAAATAGACTTGTATTGGTCTTTCTACAGGTATCGGCATTACTATGAACATCCTTTCATTGCTCAGCGCTTGGTACTTCAGCATCATTATCTCACTGACCCTGGTCTACGCCTTCCACTCATTCAAATCCCCGCTGCCCTGGACGGTCTGTGGTCAAAGCTGGAACTCCGAGTTCTGCATCCCCTCCGGAGGAGGAGGAGGAGGAGGGTCGGAAGCCACGAATGTCACCAACAGTTCGCTCGGACAGTTGTTGAACTGGAATATGACCATCAACGGCTCGAGGACTGTGTCCTCCAGTCGCGAGTTCTGGCTGTGAGTGCTGTCCATCTGGTTGTGGGTGCTGTCCATCTGGTTGTGGGTGCTGTCCATCTGGTTGTGGGTGCTGTCCATCTGGTTGTGGGTGCTGTCCATCTGGTTGCGGGTGCTGTCCATATGGTTGTGGGTGCTGTCCATCTGGTTGTGAGTGCTGTTCATCTGGTTGTGGGTGCCGTCCATCTGGTTGTAGGTGCTATCCATCTGGTTGTGGGTGCTGTTCATCTGGTTGTGGGTGTTGTCCGTCTGGTTGTGAGTGCTGTCCATCTGGTTGTGGATGCTGTCCATCTGGTTGTGGGTGCTGTCCATCTGGTTGTGGGTTCTGTCCATCTGGTTGTGGGTGCCGTCCATCTGGTTGTGGGTGCTGTCCATCTGGTTGTGGGTGCCGTCCATCTGGTTGTGGGGGCCGTCCATCTGGTTGTGGGTGCTGTCCATCTGGCTGTGAGGGCTGTTCATCTGGTTGTGGGTGCTGTCCATTTGGTTGTGAGTGTTGTTTATCTGGTTGTGGGTGCTGTCCATCTGGTTGTGGGAGGTTTGGTCTTGTCTTTTGTATTGTTTTCTTGTTTAATAATTCTTTGTTTACTTTTCATTTGTGTGTTCTTTCTTTTCATTTGTTTTTGTGTTTTGTATGTCTGTCTTTCCTTATCTAGTTATCTTTCTAGTTGTTTTTTTATTGGGAATGGCTTGTTTATTTTTATTTTCATTTTTCATGTGTAACTTTCTTTCCTTTCTTTATTTTCCTGTTCTTTATTTTTTCTCCCTTATTTTCTGTAGTGTTACCTTTCTTCTCTCCTGTATGTCTGTACTGGCCTCAAATGGCTGAGACTGACTGCATAGAATATTCTTTATTTTGTAAAATGGTGACCTGCTGGTGATGGTTCTACATTTAACCCCTTTCAGGCATTTTTAATCTAAATTCAGTCCAGAATTATCTCCCATTCTTTTTGAGGCTGTACAATAAGTTACTTCCCTTTCAGAAACAACGTTCTACAACTGTCGTCCGGATTCGAGGACATGGGTGGTCTGCCCTGGCACACCTCCTTGGCCTTGTTCCTGGCGGTGGCCGCCATGTTTGCCTGCATCATCCAGGGAGTCCATTCTGTGGGGAAGGTAAGGACACACCTAAACACGCCGTGAAAGCTTTGATAGGTAACGCGCTAGACTAGCGGCTCCAGACCTTTCTAGAATCGCGACCCTTTTTTGTAGTGGTAAAGTGATCCGCGACCTAATACATTAAAAAAAAAAAGCCTAGCCATGGATATGGCCTAACGGCTGAAAGGGGTTTCTGGGACCTCTTTACGGGTGATCCTCATCCGCATGGTGGCACTTTGTGGTCCCCGGATGTTTATTGCTTGTGTGATGTCCTGGTGGGGTACAATTACCTACCAACCAAGGTTTCAATATGGTAAATAAATCAGAGCGAAAATATGTTTACATCTTAGTATAATAATATAATTGGAAAATAATTTTGACTATCTACATGCACTCGCTTCGCTTCGAAATGCCGGGATGCCGTGTCCGATCCCAGTTGCGGGCAATGCGCCTGGCGTTGGTTTCGACAGTGGTTTTAAGAAAGCCGACCGTCCAGAAAGCAATGACAAACTTCTGGACGTAAATTTGCCTAGAAAAACCACACAACAGACAGGGGCTGTTAGGGTTGGTTCTGCAACGTCCTGTAAAAGGATACGCAACTAACCTAATAGCTCACCGATGGCCGACGATCTACAGAACATCCTCTGCTGACCCATTTGATGTCACCACCCAAGGTTCGAATCCGTCTGCTAAACATTTGTCTATAATAGTGGATAACTCAGTCTTGCTTGTTGACAATTTCTAGAAAACCATTAGCAGAAGGGTTGTATCCCTTGCATTCGCTGGCCTTTAACTCCGGCGGAATGTGTCCTAGTTGTTTCTCGACTGCTGGAGTTTATTTTTGTTCAAGCACTTGGGTTTAACACGCACGTCCGTTTTGCATACCTAGCTTGTGTGTGTGCAGACTGTTGGTTCTTTGTCTCCTAGGCGGATGACCTGCAATTTCGAAGGAAACATGGATTCTGTCTAGACTGGCAGGTCTGCTGGTATCAACACCTGTGTCTAGGATGACCGTCGAGTGGTTCAGATTGGTGTTGACCGGTCTAGACACTGGTCCTTTGTTTCTGCCTCTTGTGGTTCAGTACCTTTGTGTTCAATGTCAGTTGCTAGGATAATCTTTAATTTTGCAGTTCATTGACGGCTGGGGGTTAAAGCTTGAGGCCGAAACCCCCACGTTCGTAAAAGTTCGTTTCGTAACGTAACAGATATCTGAGGTAGACCACAAGACAAAACAAAAAGACGATGGAGAGATAATATCCAGACAGACCTGCAAACACTTGGTGTCCCCAACTGGAAAGAGAAGGCAAGTCAGAGAGATCAATGGAGGCGGGTGATATCTGTAGCAGTGAACCTCAAGGGCTCAGAACGCAAAAGAATAAAAAGAAGATTGACGGCTTTTACTGTAACATTTACAATACTTTAATAATATCCCCTGGAACATTGACAATACTTTGATAGTCACCCCTGGAACATTTACTTTGACACCCCCCCCCCCCCCCTCTTTTCTTCTCTTCCCCTACCTTTTTTTTCTTTGAAAATTCACAATTTCTCGATAATCTCCCTTTGAACATTTACAATACTTTGATAATTTCCAATGCAACAAATTCAATACTTTGGTAATTTCCCCTTTGAACATTTAAAATACTTTGATATATCCAATAGAATATTCACAATACTTTGATAGTCTCCCCTGGAACATTTACACTACTTTTAAAGTCTCCCTGGAACATTTACACTTCTTTTAAAGTCTCCCCTGGAACATGTATAATACTTTGATAGTCTCCCCTGGAAAATTTATTATACTTTGATAATCTCCCCTAGAACATGTACAATACTTTGATAGTCTCCCCTGGAACATGTATAATACTTTGATAGTCTCCCCTTGGAACATGTATAAAACTTTGATAGTCTCCCCTGGAACATGTATAATACTTTCATAGTCTCCCCTGGAACATTTATTATACTTTGATAATCTCCCCTAGAACTCGTATATTACTTCGATAGTCTCCCCTGGAACATGTATAATACTTTGATAGTCTTCCCTGGAACATGTATAATACTTTGATAGTTTCCCCTGGAACATGTATAATACTTTGATAGTCTCCCCTGGAACATGTATAATACTTTGATAGTCTCCCCTGGAACATGCATAATACTTTGATAGTCTCCCCTGGAACATGTATAATACTTTGATAGTCTTCTTTGGAACATGAATAATACTTTGATAGTCTCCCCTGGAACATTTATTATACTTTGATAATCTCCCCTAGAACATGTTAATTGTTTTGACAAATACGCCTTACAATAATTCCCTTTGTTTGTTTTGAAACCCTTCAGGTGGTCTACGTGAGAGCAACTGTTCCCTACATTCTGCTGACACGTGTGTTTGTTTGTTTGTTTTGAAACCCTTCAGGTGGTCTACGTGAGAGCAACTGTTTCCCTACATTCTGCTGACACGTGTGTTTGTTTGTTTGTTTGTTTTGAAACCCTTCAGGTGGTCTACGTGAGAGCAACTGTTCCCTACATTCTGCTGACACGTGTGTTTGTTTGTTTGTTTTGAAACCCTTCAGGTGGTCTACGTGAGAGCAACTGTTCCCTACATTCTGCTGACACGTGTGTTTGTTTGTTTGTTTTGAAACCCTTCAGGTGGTCTACGTGAGAGCAACTGTTCCCTACATTCTGCTGACACGTGTGTTTGTTTGTTTGTTTTGAAACCCTTCAGGTGGTCTACGTGAGAGCAACTGTTCCCTACATTCTGCTGACACGTGTGTTTGTTTGTTTGTTTTGAAACCCTTCAGGTGGTCTACGTGAGAGCAACTGTTCCCTACATTCTGCTGACACGTGTGTTTGTTTGTTTGTTTTGAAACCCTTCAGGTGGTCTACGTGAGAGCAACTGTTCCCTACATTCTGCTGGCACGTGTGTTTGTTTGTTTGTTTTGAAACCCTTCAGGTGGTCTACGTGAGAGCAACTGTTCCCTACATTCTGCTGACACGTGTGTTTGTGTTTGTTTGTTTTGAAACCCTTCAGGTGGTCTACGTGAGAGCAACTGTTCCCTACATTCTGCTGACACACGTGTGTTTTGTTTGTTTGTTTTGAAACCCTTCAGGTGGTCTACGTGAGAGCAACTGTTCCCTACATTCTGCTGACACGTGTGTTTGTTTGTTTGTTTTGAAACCCTTCAGGTGGTCTACGTGAGAGCAACTGTTCCCTACATTCTGCTGACACGTGTGTTTGTTTGTTTTGAAACCCTTCAGGTGGTCTACGTGAGAGCAACTGTTCCCTACATTCTGCTGACACGTGTGTTTGTTTGTTTGTTTTGAAACCCTTCAGGTGGTCTACGTGAGAGCAACTGTTCCCTACATTCTGCTGACACGTGTGTTTGTTTGTTTGTTTTGAAACCCTTCAGGTGGTCTACGTGAGAGCAACTGTTCCCTACATTCTGCTGACACGTGTGTTTGTTTGTTTGTTTTGAAACCCTTCAGGTGGTCTACGTGACAGCAACTGTGCCCTACATTTTGCTGACGCTTCTGATCATCCAGGGGGCCACCCTGCCTGGCGCCATTGACGGGGTCCTGTTTTACATTTGGCCTGACTTCTGGTAACCGTCTCGTTTTGTCCCGTTTCCCCCGTCTCGTTTTGTCCCGTTTTCCCCGTCTCGTTTTGTCCCGTTTCCCCTGTCTCGTTTTGTCCCGTTTCCCCGTCTCGTTTTGTCCCGTTTCCCTCTGGTAATGATGTACAGAAGTGGTTCTCAGCATACGGGTCGCGACGCTTTTGGGGGGTCGAACGACACTTTCACATGGGTCGCCTCAGAGCATCGGAAAACACATATTCATTAAACTTATGACATAACAACGCACAAAATATAATGGTCAGAGGTTACCAGGACAGGAGAAATTTATCAAAGGGACGCCACGTTAAGAAAGTTGGAACCATTGATGCAGAGACTGTCTCCTGTTATCCCACCCCCCACCTTTCTCTCTCTCTCTCTCTCTCTCTCTCTCTCTCTCTCTCTCTCTCTCTCTCTCTCTCTCTCTCTCTCTCCCCTCGGTGTTGTAAAAAATATCACGTAATGTCTAGCCGACAGATAGGCCACAAGCAGCTGTCAGACTGTGACTTAACCTAGCATTGACATTTTGCTGTCCGACTGCGACTTAACGCAGCATTGACATGGTGCTGTCAGACTGTGACTTAACGCAGCATTAACATGGTGCTGTCAGACTGTGACTTAACGTAGCAGTGACATGGTGCTCTCAGACAGTGACTTAACGCAGCAGTGAGATGGTGCTGTCAGACTGTGACTTAACGCAGCAGTGACATGGTGCTGTCAGACTGTGACTTAACGCAGCAGTGACATGGCGCTGTCAGACTGTGACTCAACGCAGCAGTGACATGGTGCTGTCAGACTGTGACTTAACGCAGCAGTGACATGGTGCTGTCAGACTGTGACTTAACGCAGCAGTGATATGGTGCTGTCAGACTGTGACTTAACGCAGCAGTAACATGGTGCTGTCAGACTGTGACTTAACGCAGCAGTAACATGGTGCTGTCAGACTGTTACTTAACGCAGCAGTGACATAGTGCTGCCAGACTGTGACTTAACGCAGCAGTGACATAGTGGTGTCAGACTGTGACTTAACGGAGCAGTGACATGGTGCTGTCAGACTGTGACTTAACGCAGGATTGACACGTTGCTGTCAGACTGTGACTTAACGGAGCAGTGACATGGTGCTGTCAGACTGTGACTTAACGCAGCAGTGACACGTTGCTGTCAGACTGTGACTTAACGGAGCAGTGACATGGTGCTGTCAGACAGGGACTTAACGCAGCAGTGACACGTTGCTGTCAGACTGTTATTTAACGCAGCAGTGACATAGTGGTTTCAGACTGTGACTTAACGCAGCAGTGTCATAGTGGTGTCAGACTGTGACTTAACGCAGCAGTGACATAGTGCTGTTAGACTGTGACTTAACGCAGCAGTGACATAGTGCTGTCAGACTGTGACTTAACGCAGCAGTGAAATGGTGCTGTCAGACTGTGACTTAACGCAGAAGTGGCATTTTGCTGTCAGACAGTGACTTAACGCAACTGTGACATGGTGCTGTCAGACTGTGACTTAACGCAGCAGTGACATGATGCTGTCAGACTGTGACTTAACGCAGCAGTGACACGGTGCTGTCAGACTGTGACTTAACTTAGCAGTGACACGGCACTGTCAGACTGTGACTTAACGCAGCAGTGACATGGGGCTGTCAGACTGTAACTTAACGCAGCAGTGACACGGTGCTGTCAGACTGTGACTTAACACAGCAGTGACACGGTGCTGTCAGACTGTGACTTAACACAGCAGTGACACGGTGCTGTCAGACTGTGACTTAACACAGCAGTTTCATGGTGCTGTCAGACTGTAACTTAACGCAGCAGTGAGATGGTGCTGTCAGACTGTGACTTAACCCAGCAGTGACATAGTGCTGTTAGACTGTGGCTTAACGCAGCAGTGACATGGTGCTGTCAGACTGTGACTTAATGCAGCATTGACATGGTGCTGTCAGACTGTGACATAACGCAGCAGTAACATGGTGCTGTCAGACTGTGACTTAACGAAGCAGTGACATAGTGCTGTCAGTGTGTGACTTAACGCAGCAGTGACATGGTGCTGTCAGACTGTGATTTAACGCAGCATGGACATGGTGCTGTCAGACTGTAACTTCATGCAGCAGTGACATAGTGGTGTCAGACTGTGACTTAATGCAGCAGTAACATTGTGCTGTCAGACTGTGACTTAACGCAGCATTGACATGGTGCTGTCAGACTGTGACTTAACGCAGCAGTGACATGATGCTGTCAGACTGTGACTTAACGCAGCATGGACATGGTGCTGTCAGACTGTAAATTCATGCAGCAGTGACATAGTGCTGTTAGACTGTGACTTAACGCAGCAGTGATATGGTGCTGTCAGACTGTGACTTAATGCAACAGTGACATGGTGCTGTCAGACTGTGACTCAACGCACCAGGAGACTTAAAAAACGCTACTATCCAGGGAAGATACCTGTCTTAAGTCATGTTTTTTTCATTGTGACAACACGCCTGGATAGCAGCCTCGATCTTTAGGCGCCTCTTCCTGTAATAACTCGCTGTGGTCACAATGTTGTTGATGATAAAGTTGATTATAATCTTGTTAATGAATAATGATGATAACTATAATGGCGTTTCTTGATGATATTGATGATGCTGATGATAATGATGACTGCGTTGCTGTTACTGTTTACACTGATGATGATAATAACTGTGTTGATGAAAATTGTAGTAATGGTGGTGATGATATGACGACTATGATGATTATGACGACAACGATGACGATGATCATTAATGACGAAGACACTGCTGATGTCGATGAGTTGTGATGATAATAATCTTGAGGTTGCCCATTAGGATGATACAGTTTATGTTAACACTGATGCCGAATATAAAAATGATAAGCAAAAGTAATGGATCCTTTTCCACGCCATTCAGGCATATTGGGTATATAGGGCGAGACCTATATTTATATAACAAACGGCACTTGGTGGGTGAGATGTTCAGCATTACGCTGACAGCCTTTACTTCCCAGGAATGTACCCTCAAAGCTGGGTCGAACTGGAAGTCTAGGTAATTTTTGAAAAAAATCTGGCACTCGTCAGGAAACGAACCCACGACCTTCCTATGCGCAGGCGAGCGTCTAGCTGCTAGGAGAAGAATGATACAATAGATAATGATATTTATAATACCAGCCTGCTAACCGAATAACCCACGAAACACCTTATGCTCCACAGGAAGCTGACCCACATCCAGACCTGGGTGGAGGCCTGTATCCAAGTGTTCTCATCGCTAGGCCCGGCCTATGGGGGCCTTATCACAATGGCCAGTTATAACAAGTTCAATAACAACTGCATGAGGTAACTTACTTCCTGCTCCCCTCTCAAGTTTATCCGATCTTATCCTATTCAGTTTAAATGGATGTATTTCGCTCGTACCAGCTTTAAAAGTGTGATAGAGAATGCGGTAACCAGCCATTATCGTGTGTGGCAGACTGACTGTTTCCTACTCGGTGTGCTAGAGAAGGCCGTGTCACAAACGTCAAGCTGCTGTCACACTGACAACTCCATTCATACACTGACATGCTCACATTGCCGGTAAAAATAACACTCTCCCCATTTACACAGTGTTACACACTAGCTCACTTCTGATTAGTAGACCTTGAGCCACGTGATTTGGCACAAAGTGACGGGGGTGTTTCCCAATGCCGCTGATATCGCGTGATCTATATTTCAGCACACCAGCGCTTTGTACACTCTAAAAACTTCAAAAACTGGGTCTAACACAAAAGTCCTTTGCAGAGTGATGAAACCTATGTCACAGGCATCCTCTTTCTCGGAATAAAAGAGTAAAATGCAAGACATCCCAGAAAGCAACCCGTATCCTCCAGGAAAGTAGACCAGTCCAACAAAGTTTTCAGTGGAACGTGACCTACTTTCTCTGGAGAGACTATGGTAAAACTAACCCACATCGCCTACTAGACCTTTATTCGCCGATGATTGTATGTAGGTTTCACTCCTTCAATGACTTTTTTAAAACCGTCACTTTGACGTCACAATAGTCATCTGCACTGTGATGCCACGTGCTTTTCACTCTTGACATTCTTACGAATATTGACAAGTAACAAGAGGTAGCAGATGGATCACCACAGTCTGGTGAGATTGGTGCAGGGGGTGGGGTGGGGGAAGGGGGAGTGACGAGAGGTTATGGCAGATACTCCAGATTCAGAGGAAAGGCAAGACGGGTGTTTAATCAGAATGCTACTGGCACCATTAGTATCGGAACTCTTCGCTGGCTGCCGAAGATGGGGACGGAGCGCTTATGGGAATGCACCAAGTGCTGTGATGACGGTTCTTGAATCAACTCAACTCTATTACAGTTTGAAGTTAGTTTTTTATAGCCTCCTGGAATATTGATAATTCATGTTGATTTCATCATCAATATCGTCATCTTCTTTCTCTTTTCTTTGACTGTGTCTCTTCTTCCTTTCCTCCTCCGTCTTCTCTTCCTCTCAAAAGATGAGAATTGTCTTGGTGTCAACAAAGGTTAGACAACACCCACAGATGTTGTAGAATACATGCAAACACATACAGCTGGGATTCAACCATTCTTGTAATAAAAAAGTTAGTGGCGCATCCTTCATAGGACGTTGCAGAACCAACCCAAGCGTTTTTTTTTTTTTTTGGTTGTTGAGGTTTTTCTAGGAATATGTTACGTTCAGTAGTTTGCCATTGCACCTCAACGGTCAGCTCTTGGTACCACTGTTGAAACCAACAAAAGACAAGTCCGCAGCTAGCATCGAACCAGGCACCCCGGCATTACGAAGCACGTTCACAACGCTCAAGCCACTGACACCGACGTTGCCATAAGATATATGGCTTTTTAACTTGGAAGATTTACCGATCATCCCAACAAGAACAGCACAGTTAAGTAATACATCGAATAACTGATGTAGGAGACGGAGGGTGGTGGGGGGAGGGCCCTTGAGGGAAAAAAGAGAAATACTAGAAGTTGAAAAACGAGGAAAATACAAAATAAAAGAGAAGCGAATGAGGTAGAGTGAAGAAGAAGAAGAAAAAGAATAATAATAATAATAATAATAATAATAATAATAATAATAATAATAATAATAATAATAATAATAAGAAGAAGAAGAAGAAGAAGAAGAAGAAGAAGAAGAAGAAGAAGAAGAAGAAGAAGAAGAAGAAGAAGAAGAAGAAGAAGAAGAAGAAGAAGAAGAAGAAGAAGAAGAAGAAGAAGAAGAAGAAGAAGAAGAAGAAGAAGAAGAAGAAGAAGAAGAAGAAGAAAAAGAAGGAGAAGAAGAAGAAGAAGTAGGAGAAGAAGGAGAAGAAAAAGAAGAAAAAGAAGAAGAAGTAAGAGGAGGAGGAGGGAAAGGAAGAGGAACTCCGTTGCTTTGCTGAAACAAAAAATTGTCATGTTCAAACAGCATCCACGAAGGGGGAGCATTAGGTTATAATTGCGACAAGGTAATGTGCTTAGCATTGCACGCCACCAAGAGTACTAAAGGAACTGCTGCAGTGTTGATGTAACCACAGCCCCAAATAATGGTTCGACGAGCGACGAAGTTGTCCTCCGGCGAGCCAGAGGGTGACCTGGTCGCCGATGATGATGATGAGGAGGAGGAGGAGGAAGAATATAACAAGTTAAATAACCCCCCGTTTGGGTTCCGGGGCCCTATTATAGGGAAAACAAGAACAGATCCACTGCCTACCCAAAAGCATGTCGTAAGAGTCGACTAATTGGGAGCTTCCTTCGAAGTTGGAGTGCATCCGCCTGAGAGGCAAGGAACGAACATTTTGCAAACAAATGTGTCAAGTCGGTGAAACGGATGCACACGCAACACTCAGGTTCTGGAACAGGACTGCAGTCCAGAAGTGGACGAACAACCAAAACTTTCTACCATAGTTTACAGCTGATGAGCGCAAAGAAGAAGAACAAGTTAAATAACAAATAAAACCTATCAGGAATTCGGAAAAAAAGTGCAGCAAAGCGGTAAGGAAGAGGAGGGAGAAGATGGGGGGGGGGGGGGGGGAACGACGAAAAAGAAAAAGAAGAAGGAACAACCAAACTCATCTGTAATATATACCACTAAAAGCCTAACCAATCTGAGGCTTTCTCTTCCCAAACCAGGGACGCCATCATCCTCTCGTTTGTCTGCGAGGGGACCAGCATCTTTGCGGGATTCGCCATCTTCACAGTTCTGGGTCACATGGCCCACACGCTCAACGTCACCGTGTCCACCTTCACTAGTGCAGGTAACGGTAGTGTCCACCTGTGGGTGGGTGCGTGGTGTGTGTATATGAGCATGCGGTGAGTGGGTGTTGTTTTGCGTATGCGTGTGTGAGAGAGAGAGAGAGCGTATGGGAGTATGCTTGAGGGTACTTGTGAGTGAGTGAGTGTGTGTGTGTGTGGTCCGGTGTGTGCATGCGTGTCTGTGTTTTTGTGTACCGGGGGAGGGGTGTATGTGAGTGAGTGTGTGTGTGTGTGTGGTCCGGTATGTGCATGCGTGTCTGTGTGTGTGTGTGTGGGGGGGGGGGGGTGTATGTGAGTGTGATGAGTTGGCTGTGTGTATGGAGGGGTGTATGTGAGTGTGATGAGTTGGCTGTGTGTATGGAGGGGTGTTTTGGCGTATGTGGACGTGTGTGTGGGTGGGCGTGTGCGAGAGGGGGATGGGGGAGGGGGGGGAGGCTAGATACAACTTGCGATGCAACGGTGCCGGTGCTCCACGGCTAGCACTTAGTTGGGGGGGGGGGGGGTGTAGATTAGATCCACTACAAGCGTAACAAGCGTCAAAGACAATTGGATCTGCCTGAAAGGAGGGAACCAACAGTATGCGCACTCAAAAAAAAAAAAAAAAGCCACACGAGTAAAGCTAATTTGCATGCAACAAAACTCAAATTGTGGAAGAAGACCCAAAATCCAGAAGTTGAGGAACAGCCATAACATTCCGCCTGAGTTTACAACGGTAAATGGGAAGAAGAAGAAAAAGTAGAAGAAGAAGCCATTCCTTTATTTCAGCAATTGGAACCGGTCAATCCGCTTCTTGTTTATCGTCTGATACCTCGCCGACCACGTCAGAGAAAGGATGAATATTGACTTTTCGAATGAATGTCAAACACAAATTACAACCAACAAAACACGACGAATTTTGAATTAAAAAAATCAAATCATAAAACACACTTGTTTATATACTTTAAGCTTTTATAACCTATCTTGCATACACGAACGAGTGCACCAACATAGTGTAAAATAATTTATATACTATGGTATGTTGGATTTAATATATTTACAATGACGTGTTTTATCAATTGTATATTGTATGTATACTTTGCCATATCATTTCATGGTTTACAACTACTATGCCCTTCAACATCTGTTAAAGTTAAAGTGTTTGTCTCGTTTTATATGGCTCTGAGAATTGTAGCACAGCTAAAAGAGATGAAGCCTTATTACAGCTTTTCGAAAACAGAGTCTTACGACGAATCTTTGGACCCATCAAAGATGCAAACAGCGGTGAATGGAGAGTGAGAAGAAACAACGAATTTCATAATCTGTTTAAATCACCACTGATCACTGGCAGCATGAGAGCTAACAGACATGGTCGGGGCATACTGAAAGAACGTCAGATGACAGAGAAGTAAAAACTGTATACACCAGGGAGATGAATGGTCGTAGACCACGAGGCAGACCAAGAAGACGATGGAGAGATAATATCCAGACAGACCCGCAAGCACTTGGTGTCCCCAGCTGGAAAGAGAAGGCCAACCAGGAAGATGAATGGAGGCGGGTGATATCTGCAGCAGTGAACCTCAAGGGCTCGGAATGCTGAAAAGGAAGAAAATCTTTACAGCTAGACATCTACAATTTTGTACCACGACTAATAAAAGCGATAGGCGCCTAAATAACAATTTATATTTCTTGACATAACTTGTCACAGGTCTACTGTTATTCCTTTCGAGTACCGAGTTTCCGTCTTACTTTCCACAGGACCCGGGCTGGCGTTTGTGGTCTACCCAGAGGCCATTTCCTACCTGCCAGTGCCCCAACTCTGGGGCATCTTGTTCTTTGTCATGTTGTTTACCGTGGCCTTGGATTCACAGGTAAGAATGACCCGTCTGTTAAAAACCCGGTTTTATGTTTTATCGACGTTTGATCACTGATAGAGAGATGGTAGGATACTGAGTACTTTTCTTGCATCCTGTTTACCCCCCCCCCCCCACCCCTCCCCCTCGACATGATTTTTTTTTAAATGACCTTGGCTCCCAGGTCGACCCGGCCTTAAATAGGTACCAGGTAAAAGTCCTAGGAAATAAAGGCGGCATGTGTGATGCTGACCCGATCATCCACCAGTTGCCGATTGGTTCATAAGATATGACTAGCCCTATATGCCTAAAGGCATTTAAAATGGTCCTTTGTGTTTAATTTCGATTCAGAACATTATTATCATGAAGAGGTCCTGATGAGGATGTAATCCAGCAGATATCTCTGCTTCCAGACAATAATCAAGGAAAGAAAAGGATCTATCTGTCCATTTCTACAAACACGAGCGTCAAGGGTCATCTCACCCTTCAATGAAGCTGAGCCAACAGATTTCTGGCATAGTGGACCCTTTAAAAGGACCCTTTTTTCTACGCCTTTACGACCACTCACTCCACACTGACTGTCCACTCACTCCACCCTGACCGTCCACTCACTCCATCCTGACCGCCCACTCACTCCAATCTGACCGTCCACTCACTCCACCCTGTCTGTCCACTCACTCCACCCTGACCGTCCACTCACTCCACCCTGTCTGTCCACTCACTCCACCCTGACCGTCCATTCACTTCACCCTGACCGTCCACTCACTCCACCCTGACCGTCCACTCACTTCACCCTGACCATCCACTCACTTCACCCTGACCGTACACTCACTCCACCCTGTCTGTCCACTCACTCCACCCTGTCTGTCCACTCACTCCACCCTGTCTGTCCACTCACTCCACCCTGTCTGTCCACTCACTCCACCATGTGTGTCCACAGTTTACCCTGGTGGAGACGGTGCTGACCACCTTCCAGGACTACTGGCCGCGGTTCATGAACAAGTGGAACATCCTCATCAAGCTTGTCTGTGGGGTCATCTTCTTCCTAATGTGCCTGCCGTTTGCTGCCAGGGTTAGTGGTCTTTCTGAAATCCACACGCTAGCCTACACGCACACGCTAGCGCACACGCTAGCCTACACGCACACGCTAGCGCACACGCTAGCCTACACGCACACACTAGCCTACACGCACACGCTAGCCTACACGCACACACTAGCCTACACGCACACGCTAGCGCACACGCTAGCCTACACGCTAGCCTACACGCACACGCTAGCCTACACGCACACACTAGCCTACACGCACACGCTAGCCTACACGCACACGCTAGCCTACACGCACACGCTAGCCTACACGCACACGCTAGCCTACACGCACACGCTAGCCTACACGCACACGCTAGCCTACACGCACACTACCCCGCACACACACACACTAGCGCACACGCACACACACAATCACCCAGTAGCGTAGGAAGAGCAAGGAGTGCAGGTGGGGGGGGGGGGGGGGGGGGGCGAGGAAACCGCCCCGGGCGCCATCACTGAAAAAGTTGTGGGATTTGACAAAATGGCAGCCACAACAAAATTAGTGTTGTTGCTCATACATATATATACACACACACACACACATACACAGACATACATACACACACACATACACACACACATACACACACACATACACATACACATACACACACACATACACACACACATACACACACACATACACACACACCACACACATACACACACACATACACGATGTTTCATCACCCACCCCCACATCTGTATGTGTAAATGAGGCTGAGGGGATGGGGGTTTCAGCACCATGTACCACCTGACTTTGTTACGTCACCATTTCCACCAGTGCCACAACTATCATACGTACACAAACAGACATATAAATGTGTATATGCGAGTATATGTGAGTCTGTATATAATATATATTTATTTACTAAATATCATCATCATCATCATCATCATCATCATCATCATCATCATCATCATCATATGGTGGGTCCTTTTTGTAGGACGATTTGACACGGACCTGGCTGCCATGAGACATGAAGATAAGTGATATTGTGTATTTGTGTAGTGTTGTCTAATTTGTTTTTAAGAATTTGGGACTACAGACCGAGGGGGGAAACCCCAAAAACCCATCCCAGATGGAAAAAGGAAGGGAAAACCCGAAATCCCCTTTTATTAAAAACCCCAAAACCCCCCAAAATACCCCCCAAAGGGACTTTTGGGGTAAATAATCTAATGGGAAAAAAAAAGAGGTTGGGCCTAAGATCAGGGGAAGGGTGACCTTAAAGACAGAAAACCCCCCCCCATCCCCCATAAAAGGGAAAGACCAGTCATGCGCCCCTCAAGCAATGAATCCTCACCCCCCCCCCCAACCCCCCCATTCCCCCCCCGCCCCCCCCCAAAAGTCGCCCTTTCCCATTTCAGTGAAAATTGAGATGAGTTTAAATTTGGGGTTTATGATTGGGGACGACCAGGAAGGTAATGATGATGGCCCGGGTGAGATGGGGCCGAGGGCCTTTATGATTCTAAGGGGACACGATGCGTATCTTTATGGTGACGTGTGATTATGATGGGATAACACGATTTATGACGAGGAGGAAGGGTGATGGTGAGTCATGAGTGATAGGGGGACGAGATGATGGCCCCCCCACGATGATGTGATTTCGATAAGATAAAATTTTTCCGGGCCCACGACTCCATTTTAGGGGGGCATGTACCTGGTTTTTCCGCTTTAAACGTGGTATTCTCCCCCCCTTTTACGGTTTTTCATGGTGGCCATTTTTGGGGTTTTGTGGTTCCCTCCCCCTGGAAAAAAAAAAAACCCCCCCCCCGGGAGCCCCCCCCTTGGGGCCCCGGGAAAAAAAAACCCGCCCCTAAAAATGTAGAAAAAAAGAAATTTGTGGGGGCCCCAAAACCCCCCCTTGACTTCTCCTTTTAAAGTTTCAGTCATCAATAGAAAATGTAATGTTTAA